TATGTGGACCTATGTGCTCTTGTGTCTGCTCACGGACCTTCTGTGATACTTAGTTCTGAGAAGCCTTCCTCTGAAAATGTCTCTGGCATCTGAGTACTGAGCTATTTATTATATTTTTATACTCTCTGCTTTTTAAAAAGTGATATTAAAGTCTGCATTTGGGGTTTAGTTATAGCTTGCTATGACAGAGATGTGTAGGCATCAGTAATAGGCTTCGAGCTTCAGGTTTTCAGTACACTGAGTAATAAGGAAAGGACTGAGATAGAATATTTTCAAGGAAAATGTGAAATGCCATTTGGCTGGCGGTAATAGCATTTTTCAGAATGTTTTATCTGAATCTTATGAAGCAGGCAAGTGTTTTATTGTTCTTGAGAACAGCTCAACCTTTTGTTATTTGTCCCCCCCCCCCCTTGGTTAGACTTGTAAAGATAAGGACCTATCTCTTTTGTCATCCTGCCAGGCAAAGCTAACTAACATAGTGACCTCCTGGTGGGATTAGCATAGCATAAAGGGAGAAGGAAACCTTTGACATCCTGTGTTACACATTAAAATAACTTGAAAGCCTTGGTTATGTCCTCCCATTTACTTGTGTATTGCATGGCACCAATCCCTCAGTTCAGGCCAGGGATTTCATGTAGTTTTCCAATTTGAACTGTGTTTTTCTTTTTGTTTGTTTGTTTGTTTAGATTCAAGTGAGTTTTTATTTTAGGGTACTTTTCAAGTCCATATTTCAGCTCCTCCAATTGCCAGTTTTTGTTTGTGTATATGTGTGTGTTCGTGTGTGTATGCGTGTTTTTTGGGGAAACAGGGTTCTATATAGCATCATCAGCTGTATTGTCAAAGGTGTTACTGAGCAAAAGATGAGGGAAATTCACCATACTTTCACATGCTGATGGCTACATTATGATAATTGGTGAAATGACACTGTGCTTTATAAGGCTCCCCTCTGGGCAGTGGAGTAGTAACAGTTCAATGTTACTAACCATTGTGATTTCTCCAGCAGCACGGAAAACAATCCAATTCTTTGGTTGATTTTGGAAAGCACGGATAACTTAGATGTAGGAGATGACTTAGACTTGAATGTTGACTGTTTCCGTCTAGTTGTTAAGAATATAATTCTTTTTATGTTGCTGTTGTACTTGTTAGAATGAGCTTAGGACCTCGTGCTAGCCAGGCAGGGACTACACCACTGAGCCATAGTCTCGGCCCTACAGCTTCTTCTTCACGGCCTTCATCCTTTGCTGATAAAGGGAGGGGACAGTGGTGGAAATGTTTATAATTCCGTCTTTTTGATAATTTCACTGTTCCAGTGAAAAGTATATAAGAAATAACTATGAGAAGTCATAGATTTTTTCGCTTTACAAAATAACATTATGTGTGTCTTAAACTGCTAAATTATGAGGCTGCTACAATTTTCGATTATTTTCATGTTGTGTTTTTCTTGTATAATCAATGTCATTTTGATTTCTTAATTTGGGCTATGTTTAAGGGATTTTAAAAGTTAGACAGAATCGCTGATTTGTGTTAGGCTTCTGAGGAGTGACGACAACTAGAATTCATCTCTCCTACTGTTTCCCTGACATATACTTCATTTTATAAATAATCATTTTAAAGTTATATCTAAAATTAATCATTCCTTGGGGCCATGGATGTATAACTCAGTGGCACAGCATCTGCCTAGCAAGTGCAAGGTCATCAGTTTGATTCCTGGTACCATTAAAAAAATAAAATAAAGTCTGAGTAAAAGTAATTATTCCTTCAGTAAAAAAGGCTGAGTTTAGACTGTTCCCAACACTAACCTGTTGGTTTGGTATCATGGTCAGTGATTGCTTCGACTAACTAGAATCTTTCTTTCTTGGTGCTGAAAATAAAGAATCAAGATTTTTGTTAAAGGCTGGGCCATCTCAAACATTCTGAGTTCATATTTGCTTAGTGAGGGTGTTACAGATTGACTTGGTCTCCTGAAATCTACTTGCTGAAATTTTAACCCTTGGAACCATAGGATGGGACTGTGTTTGGAAAACAAGGTCTTTGTAGATTAAAATGAGGTCATCAGGGTGAACCCTAACCCAATGACTGATATTCTTAGGAAAAGAGACACAAACACACAGATATAGACTCAAAGAATATTAATATAAAAAGATAGAGAAGGTCACCCACAAGGTAAGGGGACAAATTGTAATAGAAGCCAACCCCGTTAACACCTTAATTTTAGACATCTAGACCCTAGAACTGTGGGAAAATATATTTCTCTTGTCATGCCACCCAGCCTGCATTAGATTGTTACGGCAATCACAGGAAAGTTGATAGAGGAGTGCATGTTTCAAGAGTGATTTAAGCAGCTCACTAATAAATGAAAAACTGAATTTAAGGTGGACATGCTAGCACACGCATGGAGGCTGAAGCGGGAGAATCTCAAGTTTGAACCTAGCATGGCTCAAACTTAGCAACTTACAATTAAACTAGGTTAAATTAAATTCAACTAGATTAAATTAATAAATACGAATTGGCTATGGCCCAGTCATGGGGTGGGGAAAGGAATGATAATAAAATTATTCTTTGAAAAGAGAATCTGTTTGTTTTTTAATGTCAATTTCATATAACCCCTGTAAGGATTACTGCGTTGTTAATTAATTTTTCCAGTGGTAGCTTCTTTAAATAACAGGTAAGTGCTTTTGAAAATGTTGTTTTCTGCCAAAGTTTAGAAATCTATATATTGAAAAATATTTTGAGTTAAACATTAGAATTAATTGTTTAATTCTTACCAAGATTTTTAAAAATCTCAATGTGAGAAAAATGAATGGGCATTTTTTGGGAGAGGATTTCTTTGGCCACTTTATATAATCATAAGGGAAGAGTTGTAAAATATTTGCCAGGGACTGAAGGACAAAGTCTGTTAGTTCATTGAACTAAAGGAAAATAAAGTCAATTAGTCACAGAGTTATTTACATTTCAGAGGATTTTTTCATTTTCTTATTTCTCAAAGTAATTTAAGAACAGAAGAAAGAGGGGAAATAAGGACAAGGGAGAAAGTACAATTTTATCACCTCTTGTGTTGATTTTCAGTAAGGGAAGAGGCAAAACTCCTTGAAACTGTATATTATAAAAACAGTACTCTTAACATTTACTTCCTTCTTTTGACTTTATATCAGAGTCTGTCTAGATCCTTTCACTTTTACAACTTTGCCTAGAAAAATATGGGAAAGTCAGCCTATGCAATTAATGCAAAATCAATGCAAACTGCCCAGAGGAGCCACGTATTGGGTATTAGCTGGTGGAGACAAATGTTTTTTTAGTCCTCTTGTGATTCAACCACTATTGGATACAGAAATTTAAGGCTTAATCTCTGTTATAGGAATGTTCCAGTTGTAGGCAGAGTGAAAAGAAATAAAAGGAGTGTTTTCTTCCAACCAGAAAGATACATGTTATATTAGAGATATTATACTGACTTCTGGATATTTTTAGGCCATGATAAATATAGCATTTTACAGTACAATAAAAGACAATTTGTCTTTTGCCCCAAAGCTATGCATTAACTTTTGTTAAGTTCTCATCTCTTGTAAGATTGGAAGGGGAAAAGCATTTATATCATTGCCGCGGTTTTGGTGGAATACAGTGAGCTGTGATAAATGTATATGGAGATTATTTTGAATTTTGTTCCTGAAGAATTGTGTTCTGGTTGTAGCTTAGGAATATAGTTGTGGACACTTCCTGGGTGGAATCTATGCCTCTTGTGTTCTTGGGAGCCAGTGGTGTGACCTTGGAAAGGTAACTTAGTCAATTCTGACCTTCCCTTGTACTTCAGGGCTGATGTAAGGCAAATGAATGTCTTTAGTTCTTGCCTTTAAGGGGCCTCAGGATTATTGCTCAATGTACAAATCCCTATGTCAACTGGGGCCACATATCACTGTTTGTCAAGGTAGACTATTGAAATTCATGTAATACACATGCATTTAAACTGTACTGACCTCAGAGTAGTTATTTCATTATATATTATCTTCACAGATGTTCAAAAGAACAGTAACTAATGTATGTGGGAATACTCACAGATTCATTTTGTGCATTTTGTTTTGTCTATAAATTAAAAATTGATTCTTATATTTATAATAGAGAGGAACAGTCAGATTAATTGATCTCCATGGCCTTTACGGCTATGGTATTCAACAATTCTTTGCAGCATGCTAACTATATTTTAGTTTCTCATTATTTCTAAGTATTTCTCAAAGGTTTACTGAAAGGCTGTAAGAAAACAGTTTTTAGCAGCACAATTCATTGTGTTATTAAAGATGCCCTAAGTGCCGAATGTGGATCTGACTTGTGGAAGGGTCTGTTATGGCAGGAATCTGGCCTTCCCTTCATTCCAGCTATATTTTTTGTGTCTTTCACATTACCTATATCTATAGGTGGAATGTACCACTGTATTTGTTGCTGAATATATCTCTTGGATTAAGATATCTTAAGAATATTAATCATGAATGTTACTACTTATTGTAGTTATTTTAATCTTGAAGCTTTAAAAAAACCATTTACAGATACAACCAATTAGGAAACTAAAAATGAGATGCAGTGATTGGATTTAAAAAGATTTCTGGATTTGGACAAAATTATGATTGAAACTGCTTTAAGTTATTTAAATGATTTGAGGTTATTTAAAGTGTAACTTTATTTATAGACTGTAACAGAAAACATTCCACCTCTGGCCCTCAAACTTCCTGTCTTTTTCACAGTGCAAAGTTCATTGCCTTTCTCTGTGTTCTTCAATGTCTCAGTTTGTTCCAGCTTCTGCTGTAAAGTTCAAAGTCCGGAGTCATCTACACTAGATGCAAGTGAGACTCAAGGTTCTGCTCATCATGAGATGTGTTTCTTTAGCCATTGGAGCATAAGACACAAAGTGTCCGATCTATGTTTAATATTTACAATATTTCTATTGAATTATTAATTTAATTTTATGAGTCATTATATTAAACAATAAGTACTTAACTGGACAAAAGTCTCAAAAGTATTGATTTTTAATATTTATTGTTTATAAAAATGCATCAAAAATTTTGAACATTGGCTGGTTTTTGGTGTACAGAGTCTAAAAGAGCAGAAATAAATTCTCATATGAGCTACAATGAAAATATCAATATCACTCTACAAAAAAACTTTCCTTCATTTGTCATACCTAAAGCATCTGCACACATGATAGCAGCACATTCCATATGCCTGCATCACTTAGACTGACAGCACAGGTCTTTTTCTTTCTTGGTCTTTTTGTAGGATCTACTTGATGTCTCGGTGGTCTTGCCATTTTGTCAGGAAGTTCCTATTGTGCTGTGTATAGTTGACAGGAAAATTAAATGTCAATAAAATAAATTATTTTCAATATGTATTGTGCATTCAAAATAGGCATCAACATTTTCACATCAGCTGTGTACTTCCATAGAAAGCCTAAAAGATAACAAATAAATGCCTATATGAACTACAATGAAAATACTAATAGAACTGTACCACAGAAATAAGCTTGCTTCACCTTCCACACCCCCAGGAAGTCTTCACGCCTGTCATCTGCATGTTCCATGCACACATCTTGCTTGCAGTGATAGCACTTGTGCCTAGCTTGCCTTTTCTGTGTGGCAGTCTTGTCCTGCCTTGTTGATAGCTTCCTACTATAATGTTTAACATGCACTTAGTAGCGAAATAAGATGGCAATAAAATAAAATATCACATGTGTAATGAGTGCTTAAAATAGACATTAGCATTTTCACAGTAGCTCTTTGCTTGCTTACAAAACCTTAGAGGTAACATCAAAAGTAAGTCCCTGTAAACTGCAATATAAACACAAATAAAAGTCTACCGCAGAAATAAGCATTGCTTCAACTGTACACTCAAGGCAGTCGTCACAAATGAGAACTGCATGTGCCATACACAAGTGTCACTTACACTGAGAGTCGTATTTTTGTTTTCCTGTACTGTATTGTAGAGCGCAGTTGAGATCTTTTTTGTTTTCCTGTTGTCTAATAGGTCTCCGTGATGCGGTGCCTACCTGTCCACCTCTGTCAGCTCACCAGTGTGCGCCTCCATTCTTTACTGTAGGTCTCTGGGTAGAAACATTTTGCTCTGCTGTAAGTGATCTCGTAAGATCTCTTAAGAGCTCTGATTCCAATCCTCTAAGAATATTTCTCCATGATATTTAAAATAAACTATTTATTCCACCCATGTTTAGGGTCAAATAAAACACACCACTGGCCAGTGTTCTGTGTTTCAAATGATATCCTATTTGCAGCATAACTCAACAACATCTACTCCGTATTTGATTTTGTCATTGAAAGTTTCCATTTCAGACTTCTGTTTTCTGAAGGTTTCTCTGTGTTTTCCTCCTGGTGAAATGCTGACGTCAGCAGTACCGGTTTGCTTTTCTTTGCTATGTACTAGGCCAGTGTCATATCTTTCTGAAATTCAGAGATGGAAGTATACAGTTCTCTGTTTTGACATTGCAGCATTTCATTTGGAATTTCTGCTTTGTTCCTGTGTCAGTCCCTGCAGTGGTCAATTTGTTAGCAATTGTGGTTTGTTAGCAAATGTAACACCAATTGGAAACCTGTAAAACAATTGTCAAATGTCACATTCTGGTTCGTTTGGGAGATGGGAGCAACAAGTCTGTTCACAACATCATTCAGTTTATTCCAAACAAAGAAAGACCTGATGGCTGAGTTCCAGGATAAATGCCTAAACTGAAAGCACAGGTGTGCCATTGTGTCTCCAAGGGCATACATTTTCATACCATATTTTGACCCATTGTTTTTCTATAAATCCTGTGATCACCATGAAAAACCTGTGCTAAGTACAGTAGCCCTAGAAATGCATTCAGATCAGCTAGTGAGGTGTCACAATACATTTTTAAATGTGGCTATTGGTGCATGGAAAATGATTTACATGCATTTCATCTTTGTGTATTTCATAGCATCTTATAGCATTTTGCCTGTTACAGTTTCCAACATTGAATGGCAGTCCTGGCATTCTGTCCAGTACGTTTTACCCGTATTCAGACTGTCACTATATTTTCTGACTTAGTTCTATAGTTCTAACATTGGATTGTTCCACTTGGTCCTGTGGCCATTTTGCAACGTTTTGACTATCAAATATGTATTCACTGTGTTGCTTTCTTCATCATCTGAATCAAGGAGGTCTGCATTCCCGTTATCTGTATCGGTCAATTTGTGCTACATTTCACTGCCACAGGAACTTTGGCTCACATGGGCAACATCAGAGTGACCCCCACCACCACCACTATCATCATCATCCACCCACAACACTCTTCTGTTATGAAAGCATGTAAAACTTCTCAATAGCAGTTTTTTTGCCTTTGTCCACCTCATGTTACTATAATAGAATACTTGAGGCTGAGTAATTTATGAATAATAAAAGTTATTTGTCATGGTTCTAGTGACTGGGATATCCAGGGGCATAACACTGAGACTTGATGAGGGCTTTCATGCTGCATCATCCCATGGAGAAAAGGACAAGGGGAAGAGTGCAAGAGAGGTCAAATTTGCTTCATAGTAAGCCCACATTTGGGACAAGGAATTCACTGTCATGATAAGTACCATATCCCATTCATGAGAACACAGCCCTCTAATCAGCTGTGGAACCACACCTCTCAGTGCATTGGAAATTCTTTCCACCATATAGAAGTTGGAGCATATATTCAATATCATAGCATAGCACAGACTCTGAAAATTTATGCTATTTTTTGGGAATAAAGGTTATGAAATACTGTACACTCCTCTATCAAAAAAACCATAGTAACAGTTTAAAAATTCTTTTACAGTCAGGAAATGGTATTGACTATAATGATTATAATGTGAAGAAACGTGATTGAACATCCCAAGTTGTGACTGAATGTTACTGGTTTTGCTGTAGTCATTATTAACTAGAAGAACTTTATTTCTGATTTCTTTATTTGATGGTTCTAAAAACTTTTTTTCCAAAATGTTATCAGTTGATATTGCTGTAATCCAGCTTAGAGTCAGAGACTGTTTTGGCTTTTTGTGACATTTCTTGAAAAGTGTTCTCTCTTACAAAAGTCTTCTGAACTATGAATAGATTGAAATCTTGATGAAGGGAGCATACTTCTAGTCTCTTGTGCTCTGTTCTTGTCTGTTTTCTATTAAGTTAGAAGAAGGAACAAATGAATAAAATCATGCATGTGTATGTTTTTTGCTTCTTTAATTTTAAAATGACTATTTCATAAGTTATAATGAGTATTAATCTAGGCATTAGCTTTTTTAAAGTGAGAGTGATTTACCTTGGTACAGCAGTTCTTACGTGGAACCCCGCACAGAGAGAGAGAGAGAGAGAGAGAGAGAGAGAGAGAGAGAGAGAGAGAGAGAGAGAGAGAAAGAGAAAGAGCAAGAGCAAGAGCAAGAGCAAGAGCAAGAGCAAGAGCAAGAGCACGCTTCTGTGATAGGCAGTATCTTTTTCCACTCACCCTGCGCTCCTGCTGGTTTATGTCATGGCTGTCTGCTGCTGTGGACAGGCGGCCCCAGTTTAGAAACACTTGACTTACTTTGAAGGTGGCTGCCAGCGAACATCCCCTGCTCCCACAGGAACCCCACGCAGTCTGCAGGAGCTGCTGGTCCTGGAAACCTTACTCTCCTGCCTGCCTCTTTTGGCAGGCGCCAGCTCACTAGCCCTGTGAAGGCCAGATCCACAGCCCAAGTTGTCTCCTCCCACCCTGTTGAGAGTCCGGGAGCCTCCAAGGGCACGGGGGCTGGAAGGCAAGAAGGTGAGAATTGTGTGCTATTCATTACCATACTCCAGCTGAGAAAGGACATCTGAGCTAATTTAGAGATATCCAACTTACTTTCAGTTTAGTTTGAATGAAAAGAAGTGTAGTTCAAGAGTCAGGTTTATAAATTAACATTCAAGTCCATTTGCATGTGGCTTTGTATGTATGTCTTATTTCTCACATTAGATTTCAATCTGTGGAGGCAAATACACTTGTTTAAATGTGTCTATAATGATTGATTCTGTTAGTATCAATATATTCCTCCTCTACCTCACCCCCAAAACACAAAATCATGTATTATACCTGTATGTGATAGTCTCCTTTCTCTTTAACCTATTTTTTTTTTTTTGCCAATTTAATGTAATAAATGAGTTACTGTTGACTCATTAAGACTAATTTAGTCAAGGTAGTATTTAATTTTCTCTGACCTACTGTCTGGTTTAATGTTTTCAGCAAGCCAGGCTGGTTACCAAAGTCTCATCTTTCCATTTTGACAAATCAAGTGTATCTATGGAAAAGCTAGAGTTTATAAATTTTACATCTTACTTTTTTTGAGGAGAAAAAAATTAAACAGGGCAATAAAATTCTAAGCATGTAGTGCTGCATCTGTCTGTCCTTCTGTATAACACAACATGCCTGCAATTTCCATCTCTGTCCTTCTTAAGACTCCCATGGTGAAAGTTGGGGTCAACCTTGCGTTATTGGCTCTTTTGTTCTCTCTGTCTCTGTCTTTGTCTCTGTCTCTATCTCTGTCTCTGTCTGTCTCTGTCTGTCTCTGTTCTCTCATTCTCTCTCTCTCTCTCTCTCTCTCTCTCTCTCTCTCTCTCTCTCGCTCTCGCTCTCTCACTGTCTGAATTGCTGATCCTGTAAAGATTGGAGCAGGGGTGAATTTGTAGTTCAGCAGAATGTGATGGCAGTTCAGTGGTGTCACTATTTTTTTTTTTTTTACAGAAACTGTAACAATACCATAGCACAGGAATACATATTTGAGTTGTGAGGCGTTTGAGATGTAGACAGAAGAGGGTATTTCTTTTTCTTAATCCATTGTAATGAAAAGCCTGGATGAAGATAGTCCCAGGAGTAAAAATCCAGTGTTATAACTGATGCTTGCAAGAGGGCCAGATGCCAGGGGAGCTCAGACCCTGAGGTCTGTTTGTGTTGGCATGTGGCATGTATAGACAGCACTTAAAAATGCCTTGGCATGTGAGAGAGCCAGAAGATGCTTTCCGTACTCACACCCGGTTACTGTTTCTGCTCAAACTTGAGCCTTTGCTCCCTGCAGGCAGGTCTGGTGTGTTTACATCACTGCATCGTGGGCGCCCTCATGTCATGGCGTAGGGAGACTGGCTGTGTGCTTTATCATGCTTCTCTTCACAGGGACGCACAGCCTTTGTGCGCTCTGCATCAAACTCGTCTTTCATCCTGCCTTGTGTATCTTTTGCAAGGAAATTGAGCTCATAAAGAATGCTATCAGATTCATCAATGAGCACAGGATACCATTTCAAAGTCTAAGGAAGAGACCTAAAAATGATGCAATCATCAGTTTGACTATTTCAACAGTGCTGTTTAGCAGAAAATATTAAAACAGCCTGCTTGCTGTTAAATCACTGGGGGCATAACTAGCCAAAGAATTTCACAATGTGGATAACCTCCAGCCCTCTGACTGTATGCAAAGTAAGAGGCCTGAATGAGAGCATTGTGTTATAAAACCTTAAGCGGGAACAAGACTTAAAAAGCCCAATCTTGCTGGTTATTTTGGAGATTCAAATGCTGTCTAAGAGAAGAGAACTCATTATGACTCAGTTCCGTTAATTAGACGTAAATTACCATCTTTTGTTTGATACAAAAGAAGGTAAAGGAAACTGCAAGACCAGAGGATACAGAAATTCTAATGAGATGAGAGCACAGGCTGGGAAACTTGAGTGAATACAAGAAGCCATTCAATGCGGCAAGTCCCTGATTTGTCTTGTGTATATGAACAAGAGGCAAAAACATACATCTGTAATTGTTCAGATTCATACACTATTTCTAGCCATGGTCAGTGACCCCACAGATCTCAGAGGGTCCTAATTTTGTGAGGATGTGAGCCTGACCCAGGAAATACTCACTTTGTTCTCCATCCCTAATTACACTGTGAAGATTTTTTGTTAGGTATCCCTGTCATTCTCAGGGGATACAGAAGGCCCCTAACATTACTGAATGACAAGCAAATAAACTTTACTTAAAAACAATGAGGCCTTAATAAGTAAAGGAAATGAGCCAAGTTTGAGCAGGAGAGGAATTGTTTAAGCACAAGATAACTGGGGAATGATAGAATTTGAATGTTGTAAAATACTCTTTGGTCATTCTGGAACTGGGAAGTCTACTTAAGTAAGTCAAGAAAATAGTAAACCCATTGATCCCTTCTTTAGAACTCTGTAAACACATTTTCTTAGTTCTGTCAACTTCTCAGTTACAAACCAGATTGTTCCAGGGTGAAGTCAGCTGCGCTGTTTCTGCCTGCTAGGAGGTTGAGTTCTCCCCTCTGTGGCAGGTGAAAATTAATGTGGTCTCAAAGGTCCTGTATTCTGGTCATTCTTAAAACAAGTTCGTAATTTGAGTGGTGAACAAGATTCCAGATGGATAATATTCTTATTAGCTTTCAGAGAAGATAGATGAAGTGGGAGTTGATAACTTTTATCCTACGGTTGAGTATCCTGTTGTGAATTCATAGGATCTAAGGACTAATTTCAGTGGAAATTATCATGACTGTATTACAAGTAATTAATCACTTCATTCATGCAGCACTTTAAGCACCTCCCAACGTACTGTTATGCATGAGGTATTCAAGGATTACTGTGACTGATGCTGAGAAAAACAGATTAGAGAATCTATGATCAGATGAGGCTTTGAAGGGAGGATTATTTACCAGTGTATGGCCTGTGTACAGAAAAATTTAAAGGGAGAAGTAAAAAAAAAAAAAAAGAAGAAGAAGAAGAGACTAGCCGTAGCATGTGTGCTTATTTAATTAGGTCCAAGTCCATTTTAGAATTGGGATCCAGAAAGTCTAGGATTTCTTTCAACTGGAGTTCTAGGGTCAAGAGTGAGTGTGGAGATTTCTACTATATAGTACGATGGTGGGGAATTGGATTTTTGGCATGAATCATGACCCTTAACTGCCCCGGTAAGCTGTGGGTGAAGCCAGGGTCCAATGTGAGATCAGAATCATCCTAGAAGAGACTAGAGAAAGATCTGGAGGAAGTTAGACAGCAAATTTCATGGTTATTGATTACCCAGTCAGGACTCAAGGCAAGCATTGAAAGACACACATCCTCTTGGGAAATTTTCTTCCAGAAGCTTCCAGCTACCTTATCTGAAGAAGAGTTGGAGTTTTGCTGTATTGATCCCAGTTTGGAGGCTTTGTGGGTGGATGGGTTGAAGGAACAGGACAACATGGAAGCAATAGTTGTTCACTGACCAAGGTGCTGGTAAGGGCAAGCTGGGACTCAGTTTTGTTACATGCATTGATTGACCATAAAGAAGCAAATGTCTTCTTATGCTGTGATGCTTCTTACATTTCCACAATGCTTTACAGTGCCACCCCTCCTTCCCTCCTATGGGGAACTGGCTGCCTTGTGCATGGGATTTGGAGAAACTGAGTAAAGGAAGGATCTTGTAATTTCTCAGATAGAACGCAAAGAATAACTGTTGAGATGTTGGCATTTCTTACTATTTTTTACTCTGTACTCTTTAGTCTTGTAAAAACAAAACAGCAGAGAAATAACAAATGCAACAGGCACAGCCTTCCTCCTGTTGATGGACCTCAGGCTTTTTTGCAGACTCGGCCCCACTGAATTATGACTTCAATATTGCCAGTTCTCAGGCAGCATAAGAATGGTAAGCAATTAAGTGACTAGGTATAAAAGCTCAGAGGCTAGGAAGTATGCAGAGAATCAAACAGAGGATTCGTGGTTGCTAGCACCTAGTGTGCAGAGCTAGCATGAAGTATTGTTGGTCTCTGGTCATTTGAATTTGTCAGACAAAAGTCTTCATGGCTGATTTGCTTATTGGCTACCCAGGAAGGCTTCGGATTCTGTGTGAGCAAAACTAGACACAGCTCTATAAACACAGCAAAATTGCTCTCTGCTGAGCTCAGCAAAGGAACAGTAGGACTCACTAAGCCAAAATCCTCATCCTCTCGCCACACCCATGTAAAAATGTGAATACAAATTGTTACTCAGAGCCCTTGTGGTGGGGCATCAAAATTTTGACTTTAGGATAGTGGTTACCCTTTGTCCTGTGTATTCCTCTTTCCAGTCACCTCAAGAAACCTGCTTTATTTCATTTAACTGTCATGGGTATTTATGTTTGCAGTCAGCCTTAAACTTATCATCCCTTTATGAATGAGAGACTGTTTTCAAATCACACTTCAGGAAAGTGTTGGGGGTTGGTGTAGTATACTTCAGCCTTCAAGTAAGAAAACTCTTTGAGTGCTGACTTCTGTTCAGCTTTGTGACCTTGAGTTCCTCCCTGACTTCTGAGATCTTAGTTTCCTGAGCCATAAAATGATCACTAAGGCTTTTCCAGCTTTAATACTTCATGATTTTTTAAAAACTCTGTTGGAAGGATTTTTAAAATAGTTTACTTTTCTGGCTGTGTTCAATATGGCCCTGCTTTTTTTTTTTTTTTTTTTTTTTTTGCTAGTTTAACAGTGCTTAAAATCAAACGTAGACGATTCATAATTCCGCCGCATCAAAGCTCTTCCTTTCTGCTTAGTCTTCTGTTTGCCAGGTGACTTCATTTGCCTATTCATTAGTACTCCCAGCATTAGGTGGACTGGGATGATAAAATACGGACTGCATGCAAGCTGCTGCTGCAGTCTTGGCCCTGATGCTGAAAATGAGTTTCTTGGGGTTTTATCTTTAGTTACTTAATTGTACTACCCATGTCTCCAGGAGGTAATCGAGAGAATGAATGACTCTGCAACAAATCAACAGCAATAACCATGTTTTACCAGGCCTCT